TTAGCAGGGCCTGGTGGCACACACCTATAGTCCCAGCTGCCCAGGAGGCTGAGGTGGGAGGATCACCTGAACCTGGGAGGTCCAGGCTGTAGTGAGCCATAATCCTGCCATTGCACTCCAGCCTAGGTGACACAGTGGAGGAATAATTTTATTTCCAAACTTGCTACATTATAAATAATATTCAAAATGTCCAGTTTTCAACAAACATTACGAGGTATGCAAAGAAAGTATGGCTCATACATAGAAAAAAAATCTGCTAATAGAAACTGAGGAAAGCTCAGACATTGGACTTAACAGGCAAGACTTTAAGTCAATTATTTTCAAAAAGGTCAAAGGGCTAGAGGAAACCAGGAGAATGATATCTCACCAATATTGATAAAGAGACTGGAATTATAAAAAGGAACCAAATAGAAGTTCTGGAATTGAGAAGTACACAAATGAAATTCACTGGAAGGGTTCCAAAGCAGACTTAAAAAGGCAGAAGAAAAAAATCAGCAAACTTCAAGATAGGTCAATTGAGATTACCTATTCTGAGGTGCAGAAAGAAAACAACAACAACAACAACAACAACAAAGTTAACTGAGCCTAAGACACCTGCAGGATACCATCAAGTGTACCAACATACACCTAATAAGAATCACAGAAGAGTGAATGTAGAAGAAATTTTTAAAGAAACAATGGCTGAAAACATACTGAAAGACATTAATCTACGCATACAAAGAGCTCAATGAATTACAATAGGGTCAACTCAAAGAAACACTCAGTGTGACATTGAGACACGTTATAATCATACTGTCCAAAGACAAAGCAAATCCTGAAAGCAGAAAGAGCCACTTGACACGTACAAGAAATCTTCGGTAAGATTAATAGCCAATTTCTCATCCAACATTATGGAAGTGAGAAGGTAATGAGGTGACATATTCAGTGTGCTGAAAGGAAAATCTTGGGTGGGCTTGATACTTGTAGATATTCATCTGTGTCTGAGCATTGAAGAGTTAGGTATTTATCATAGTCTTCCAGTCTGTGCTTGTTTGTACCTGTCCTTGGGAAGGCTTTCCAGATATTTGAATGGCTTGGGTGTTGTGATCTAAGCTGTATCTGCTTAAGGATTCACCGCAAGCCCAATAACACTTTGGTTTTTTTTAGCCTCATAGAGGTACTGCCTTGATGGTCTTGAACAAGATTCAGAATTCTCTGGATTACCATACAGAGACTCTTGTTCTATTCCCTTACTGTCTTCCAAACAAAAGGAGTCCCTCTCTCTGTTCTAAGCCACCTGAAGCTGGGGGTGAAAGGGCATAAGCACCCCTGTGGCCACCACCACTAGGACTGCACTGGGTCAGACCTGAAAGCCAGCGCAGCACTGGATCTCACCCAAGGCCTTCTATTACCACTCCCTGGCTACTGCCTATGTCTGCTCAAGGCCCTGGGGCTCTACAATCGGCTGGTGGCAGAGCCAGCCAGGCTTGTGTCCTTCCCTTCAGAACAGCAAGTTCCTCCAGGCCCCAGGTGGGCCCAGAGGTGCCATCTGGAAGCCAGCAACTAGAGTAAAAAATCTTAGAAGTCTACCTGGTGTTCTATTATACTGCAGATGAGCTGGCACTGAATCCACAAGATGCAGTCCTTCCCTCTCTTCCTTCCCCTTTCCCAAGACAGAGGTGCCTCACTCCACGGCCACCCGCCACCACAGGCCACAGGGAGTGCTGTCAGACTGCTGCTGATGTTCCCTTAAGGCCCAGGGATTCTTCAACCAGCTTGTGGTGAATGCTGCCAGGCATGGGACTCACCCTCCAGGGCAGTGGGCTCCCCTCTGGCCCAGGGTAGGTCCATAAATGCCATCCAAGTCCTGGAATTGGCAGTCCCAAGAACCATGTGGTGCTTTACTCTCCTGTGGCTGAGCTAGTACCTAAGGTGTAAGACAAAGCCCACTTTACTTTTCCTTTCACTTTTCTCTAGCAGGAATCTCGCCTTTTAACCACCACAGCTGGGAATGTGCTGGCTGAATCTGAACCTGAAACCAGCAAGACTCAGAGTCTCACCCAAGGCCCTCAACATAGTACCCGGGTATCTCTGCTGGTTATTCAGGGACCAAGGGCTCCTCAGTTAACAGGCAATAAATGCAGCCAAGACTGGGTCCTTTCCTTCGAGGCAGTGGGTTCCCTTCCAGCCCAGGGTGTGTCTAGAAATGTTGTCCAGGAACAAAAATCCTGAACAACATGCTAGCAGACTAAATCCAGCAGCATATTAAAAGCATTATACATCATGACCAAGTGAAATTTATCCCAGGAATGCAAGGGTCATTTAATATATGAAAATCAGGCTGAGTGCAGTGGCTCACTCACGCCTGTAATTCCAGCACTTTGGGAGGCCGAGGTGGGCAGATCACCTGAGGTCAGAAGTTCAAGACCAGCCTGGCCAACATGGCGAAACCCTGTCTCTACTAAAAATACAAAACTTAGCCGGGCATGGTGGCGGGTGCCTGTAATCCCAGCTACTCGGGAGGCTGAGGCAGGAGAATTGCTGGCACCTGGAAGGCAGAGGTTGCAGTGAGCTGAGATCGTGCCACTGCACTCCAGCCTGAACAACAGAGCAAGACTCCATCTCAGAAAAACACACAAACAAAAAAGATGTAATGCATGTAATTAATAAAATGAAAGGGGAAAATCACACATGATCATCTCAACTGATGCAGAAAAAGCATTTGAAAAAACCCAACATCCTTTCGTGATTGAAAAAACACTCAACGAAATAAGACTAGAAGGAAAATGTCTCAACCTGCCAGAAGGCATCTATGAATAAGCCACAGCTGATATTGCAGGTGGGAATGTAAAATAGTACAGCTGCAATACAAAAGAGTTTGGTGGTTCTTCAAAAAGTTAAACATAACAGTTACCATGTGACTCAGCCATTTCATGCCTACATATAGACCCAAAACAAATTGAAAAACAAATACTCACACAAAAACTCATATATGGATGTTCATAGCAACATTATTCATAATAGCCAAAAAATGCAAACAACCCAAATGTCCATCAATTGATGAATAAATGAATAAAATGTGGGCCGGGTGCAGTGGCTCATGCCTGTAATCCCAGCACTTTGGGAGGCCGAGGCAGGCGGATCACCTGAGGTCAGGAGTTTGAGACCAGCCTGACCAACATGGTGAAACCCCGTCTCTACTAAAAATACAAGAATTAGCCAGCCGTGGTGGTGTGCACCTATAATTCCAGCTACTCGGGAGGCTGAGGCAGGAAATCGCCTGGACCTGGGAGGCAGAGGTTGCAGTGAGCTGAGATCATGCCACTGCACTACAGCATGGGTGACAGAGTGAGACTCTGTCTAAAAAAAAAAAAGAATAAAATGTGGTATATTAATATAATAAAACATTATTCATCCATAAGGAATGAAGTACAGATACATGCTACAATACAGATGGCCCTTGAAAACATTATGCTCAGAGAAAGAAGCCAGATACAGCTAGGCTACATATTGTATGATTCTGTTTACAGTAGTACCCCCTTACCTGAATTCATTCAGGGGATGAATTCAATACCCCTAGTGGATGCCTGAAACCACAATAGTCTCTAATCCTATTATACTATGTTTTTTCCTATGCATGCATACCTATGAAGTTTAATTTATAAATGAGGCACCATAAGAGATTAGCAACAATAGCTAAGAATAAAATGGAACAATTAGTACACTATGCCAGCTTCTGTGAAGGGAGAGTTGCGTGAAAAACAACCACCATATGCCAGCAGCTCTGCTCTTCCACTTTGGGTCTTGATTAAGAGAAGGAAGTGTTGCTGGAACACAAGCACTGTGATACTGTGGCCATTGATCTGATAACTGAGAAGGCTGCTAAGTGACTAACAGGCAGGAAGTGCAGACAGCGTGGACCATGCTGGATAAAGGGAGCATTCACGTCCAGAGCGGGATGAAGTGGGATGGCGAGAGATTTCATCAGTCCACTTAGAATGATGTGCAATTGAAAACTCATATATTGCTTATTTCTGGAGTTTAATATTTTAGGACCATGGTTGACTGCAGGTAACTGAAACCACGGAAGGTGAAACCACAGATAAAGCAGGACTACTGTATTTAAAATGTCCAGAATAGGCAAGTTCATGAAGACAGAGACCGGTGGTTTCCAGGGTAGTTGGGAGAGCAGGAATGGGATGTGACTGCTTAAGAGATACAGAGTTTCTTTCTAGAGGGAGAACAACGTTCTGGAACTGGTGGTGATGACTGCACAACTTCTGAATGTACTGGAAGCCACTGCATTTGTACAATTTATTTATTTTTAGTTTTTTTTTTTTGAGACAAGGTCTCTGTCACCCAGGCTGGAGTGCAGTGACATGATCATGGCTCACTGCAACCTTGACCTACAGGGCTCAGGTGATCCTCCCACCTCAGCCTCCTAAGTAGCTAGGACTACAGGCACGCGCCACCATGCCCGGCTAATTTTTGTAATTTTTGTAGAGATGGGGTTTCACCGTGTTGCCCAGGCTGGTCTCAAACTTCTGGGCTCAAGTGATCCTCCTACCTTGGCCTCCTAAAGTGCTAGGATTATAGGCGTAAGCCACCACCTCCAGCCTTGTACAATTTAAAATAGTTAAAATGATGAATTTTACATTGAATTTCACTTCATAGGAAAATTTTTTAAAAACAATAACAAACCACTTTAAGGGACACATAAATTCCCTGGGGGTCTCATTGTAATGCAGATTTGGGAGTCTGGGTGGGTCCTGAGACCCTGATCCCCTTGCTTCTCACCTACGGCCACATTTTGAGAAGCAAGGCCACTCAAAGGGCCCCCACCTGTGTGAGTCAACCCCTGCTCCATCTGCCTCTGTAAATAAGGAGGGCTAAAGCACAGATGGCGGGTGTGGGCGTGTCCCCAGGTCTGAGACTGAAGGGGGTTGCAGGCCTCCTCCAGGCATGGAAGTGGAGGGAGAGGGGGCTATAGTTAAACGGATTACTCTGTCAGCAGACACAGAGGAGACCAAAAGAATAGTTTTTATTTCACATGAAGCTGAGGAAGGACGGCGAGAGGACAGGGCTGGCTCTGTGGGTGCTGCCTGGCAGGTGCACCACCTCCAGCTGCTGGGCTCCAGCTCCGGGGCTCAGAAGCCATCTGAAAGAAAGCAGAGGCCTCCAGTAAGCAAGCTGGGGCGCTGCAGGGTACCCGCCTCCGGGGTGTCCAGCAGTTCTTTCCCTTCCCTCCCTAGTCCCCGGGAACTCCTGTGCGCGGGACACAGGGATCAAGGAGACAGCAGAGTGCAACCCCATCCCTGCCTGATCAGTAGGGGTTACCCGTCTTCCGAGAGGGTTTTGGGGTGGAACAGGAGTGGTTCCTCAGGGGGAAATGAAAGGAGCTAAGGAGCTCCAGTCGTGAGAAGGCCAATGAAGGAGGCAGTTTCTCGGCGCCGGGGTTGTGCTGAGATGGCATCTAGGGCTGGCTCTTCCAGAACCTCATTTGACACTGGGCGGCAGCGACCGGGTGGCGGGGGCCGGGGGCGGGGAGCAGGGATGATGCCGTCCCTCTTCCAACCCCAGGGAGCGCTGGGGCCCTCCCTGCCTGCCAGGCTACACCTGTGCGGTGGAGTAGCCGTTCCTGTCTCGCCTGCCCAGCCCCAGATGACAGCAGCCCAGAGGCGGTCCTCTGCCACCTGCACTGCTCACCTTCTCCGAGGAGGTCGGGAGCGGGGCTGAAGGGTCCCGGGGGCAGGTTCCAGGCCAGCTCCTCCAGCAGGCCCAGCAGGCCTTTTACCTCTGTCCCCAGGTGATCCACGGTCTTCTCTACCATCTAGAGTGGGAAAGGGGGTAAAGTCGAGGACAGGAGTGGTTCCACGTTCTGCTTTATCAGCCAGGCCCTAAGAGCAGCTGGCGATCCAGTGCGGTGCAGTGAGAAAGGACTAGGCGCTGCGGGACCTGGGTTTCCTTCACTCAGGCTCCACCCCTACCTGCCTCAGTTTCCCCAGATGACAATATCCTAGGGGTCTCGCTCTCTAAGGTTCCTTCCTTTTTGGCACTCAGTCACAGGTTTGGATGAAGCGCCTGTGGAATACTCTCCCTTTTGGCCTTTGCAGGCTGGAGCTCACATTCCTTTTGTTGTTCTGCCCCCTGGTGGTGTCTCTGCCAAATGACAAGTTTAGGATTCTGAAATTTACTCAGGGTTCTTAATGATTTTTCCCTGTGTGTGCCATGGATACCACTGGCAGTGTGGTGAAGCCTACAGACCTCTTCTCAGAATAATGCCTTAAATGCGAAAAATAAAACATATAGAATTACCAAGGGCACCAATTGCATTAAAATATTCAAGTATTAGGCCGGGCGTGGTGGCTCATGCCTGTAATCCCAGCACTTTCGGAGGCCGAGGCAGGCAGATCACTGGAGGTCAGGAGTTCGAGATTAGCCTAGTCAACATGGTGAAACCCTGCCTCTACTAAAAATACAAAAAGAAGCCAGGTGTGGTAGTGCCCGTCTGTAGTCCCAGCTACTCGGGAGGCTGAGGCAAGAGAATCACTTGAACTGGGAGGTGGAGGTTACAGTGAGCTGAGACCACACCATTGCACTCCAGCCTGAGTGACAGAGTGAGACTCTACCACAAAAAAAAAAAAAAAAGAAAAAAGAAAAAAAATTCAGGTATTTAAAATTAAACTTTTTGGCCCAGCATGGTGGCTCACGCCTGTAATCCCAGCACTTTAGGAGGCTGAGGTGAGATCTCTTGAGGTCAGGAGTTTGAGACCAGCCTGGCCAACATGGTGAAACCCCATCTCTACCAAAAGTACAAAAAATTAGCTGGGCATGGTAAGTACAAAAAATTAGCTGGGCATGGTGGTGCATGCCTGTAGTCCCAGCTACTCGGGAGGTTGAGGCACAAGAATCACTGGAACCTGGGAGGCAGAGGATGCAGTGAGCCAAGACTGTACCATGCGCTCCAGGCTGGGTGACAGAGACTCTGTCAAAAAAAAAAAATTAATTTTTTGAGTAATATATGTATTGGCTGGGCAAAGTGACTCATGCCTGTAATCCCAGCACCTTGGGAGGCCGAGGTGGGTGAATGGCTTGAGCTCAGGAGTTCAAGACCAGCCTGGGCAGCATAGCAAAACCTTGCCTCTACAAAAAAATACAAAAATTAGTCAGGCATGGTGGCACATGTGCCTGTAGTCCCAGCTACTTGGAAGACTGAGGTGGGAGGATCGCTTGAGCCTGGGAAATGGAAGTTGCAGAGAACCGAGACTGCACTACGGCACTCCAGCCTGCTAGACAGAGAGAGACCCTGCCTCAAAAAAAAAGAAAAATGTATTTATTAACTCACTAAATCACATGATTTAACATCAGGCCTGACCACAACTGAAATTTTGACACAAGGGTAAAAATTATATGTTGAGATATTCACAACTAGAGGCAGATGAAATTATCTGGATTTCTATTGATGACAAAGTTATAGTACTGTTAATACCACAGCTTGCTGTCTGTATTTATGATGAATGGGACACTCAATTTCAGTTAAAGTCTTTTGACAATAAAGATGTAAACGTTTCCCCACACAAGTTAGGAATCGTGGCTATATAACAAAACAGTGACTGAATTTCCACCTTCCCATCCAGTAACGATGTTGAAATATCCGGCGGGGGGCGGGGCGGATAAGCAAGGCCTTAGGAGAGGCAGAGTCCATTGGGGGCTGGGCAGCCTGGCAACCCAGATGCGAGGATGATGTTGGACAAGGTGGTCACAGGGCAGGATTGGCCTGGATGTCCTCACATTCCAAAGCAAGCCTGCATCTGCCCATAAAAACACCATTCTAGAAGGTGGTCCTGAACCCGCATGCCCTTCCAAATCACCCTTTTACCTCCTCCATGACATCTAGACGGCGTTGCACAGCCATATGTCTGTCACACACTGTGCTCTGAGCTGAATCTCCTCGTGGAGGGCTGAAGGGTTCTGCAGCTGTGGAAAAACGAGTCTTTTCACTGTGGGACCCTTAGTGTTCCATAATGCCAGAGACTCCTGTAAACACTGGGCTCAAGTGGGGTCAGTCCTCAAGGCAAACGCAAGAGCAAGCAAAGGAAGGCCCAGGTGGGGGTCAGTGTACGAGTGTCAGCCATCTCAATCCCACCAGTCTCTACAGTCACAGCCACCTACAGACCCAGATGAACTTCCTCAAGGAGGTAAAGCCCAGGGAGGAAGGGAGTACGGGCTTCAGCCAGGGAGCTGCAATGATGGAGGGGTCTGAAAGAGCGTGGCTCACTGTGTAAACCCTGCAGGCAGCCTGCAGTGGCTGGAGATACAGGGTGGGCGGGAGATAGACTGGAGAGGGAAGTCCTGGAAATGAAGCCAAGGGGGTAGAGTTTTAACCCAGGGGCTTTAATAAACCAGTTCTGATGCTTGTTTTGTTTGTTTGCTTGTTTGTTTGTTCTGAGACAGAGTCTCGCTCTGTCGCCCAGGCTGAAGTGCAATAGTTCGATCTCGGCTCACTCCAACCTCCGCCTCCTGGGTTCAAGTGATTCTCCTGCCTCAGCCTCCCGAGTAGCTGGGATTACAAGTCCTGCCACCACGCCCTGTTAATTTTTGTATTTTTAGTAGAGACAGGGTTTCACCATGTAGGTCAGGCTGATCTCAAACTCCTGACCTCAGGTGATCCGCCCGCCTCGGCCTTCCAAAGTGCTGGGATTACAGGTGTGAGCCACCATGCCAGGCCAAGGGGGTTTATTTTAACAGAAAAGTCACAGGGTCAAACATGAATTTTTAAAATAGAGGGAATAGATTGGAGGGAGATGCCTTTGAAGGCAGGAGGTTACTGCAGCAATCAGGATAAGAGGGGTGAGGGAGAAGTGATAAGCAGAAGCAGGAGCTGTAGGAATAGTGAGGAAGGAAATGAGAGGAGATATTTTAGTAGCAGCATTGAGGCTGGAAACCCATTAGTAACAGTTGGCATGTGATGAGCGCTTACCATGCACCATGTAGGGTGCTAACTTAACCTCTCCAACTACCTGTTGTTATGCCCAATCTACACATAGGAAAACTGATGCACAGAAGGGTGAAAGGATGTGTCCAAAGTCACTACTCATAAGCAGAGGATCTGCCATTCAACCCACTCAACTCCTGATTCACCATTGTTCTTCTTGAGTTAGCTCTTCCAGGCACCATCAACCCTCATAGCAGAAGTCTGAGAGCCCTGATTCCAAGTTCGGGTTTCAGAGTTGGTAACCCTGAGATGCCTGTGGGGCATCAAGGTGGCTGGAACCTTGGGAGAACGCTGACACTCAGGAAGGAGGGTGCTGCCCCAGAAGTCAAGAGAAGCCGGGAGCTTTATAGATTCTACAGAGGATGAAAAGGGTCAGCATGACCAAAAGCAGCGGGGAGGTGTAGCAAGTTAAGGACTGGAAAGAGAGCACAGAAAGGCCCTGCTAAATTTTACCCCAGCACTTTTAGGAGTGGTGGAAAAGCAGAGTTTGGATTACTGGGAGATGAGAAGGGAAGGTGAGGTTGGGGGGTAGAAACTTGGAATCTGGAAAATTCCATGAAGCTTGGCTGTGAAGGAAGGAGATTGGATCGCAAGGTCTAGAGAAGTATTTATGGTTTTTTTTTTTTTTTTTTTTTTTTTTTTTTTTAAAGTATTGGAAAACACACCATGCTTACAGCCTGAGGGACAGGAGGAAGACAAGAGAACCCAAGGAATGCACTTCCTGAACTGATGGGAGGCCCTGGATCCAGAGCAGGGGGACCACATCTGGAAGGAAGACAGAGGAAACGCAGCAAAAACAGGCAAAGGCAAACCATCTAACTAGGGGCCAAAAAGTGGAGTGAGCTCCCACCTGATGGCCTCTGTTTACTCTGTGCAATAAGATGGAGATCACGTAGGGAAGAGAGCTAGATGTTACAATGACAAGAATTCTTTGAGTAGGTTGCTAAACACAGACATTAAAATAGTGACCATGGTGTCTGGAAATGGCAGCTCGTGCCTGTAATCCTAGCACTTTGGGAGGCCGAGTGGGAGGATCGCTTGAGTCCAGGAGTTCGAGACCAGCCTGGTCAACATAGTGAGACCCCAGCTCTAAAAAGAAAAAATTTTTTAAGTTAAAAAAAAAATGGTGGCCATGATGGGAACATTTACACCACTGAAATCAATGACCCACACCCCTTTTTTTTTTAAGAGCCAGTCTATCAGTGCACCACTAGGTAAGGGACTTGAATAAAGAGAGGGCTTCGAAAGAGGATGGGCAGAATGAGGGATGCAGTGTGGGAGGACCATGCAGAATGAGTTGGCATCAACAAGGAATCCTGGAAGCACGAGTCCTCCCCAGCAACGCTCCATAGTCTGGGCGTAGAGCAGCAAAGACAGATGGCTGGATGGAGCTGAACCTAGGAGTCTGCAGGATGGATGTGGTGGAGGCAAGGGGCCAAGGAACTGAGATTTGGCCAGTCAGGGGTTTAGGACAGGAGCCCTGGAATCCAGCTGGAATAAGGAAGGAAATGAGGCCAAGAAGGGGGCCAATAAATTGGGAGAAACGGGGGCTGAAGAGACGGAGGTCTTAGGAATCACACGAGGAACAAGAGGTAAAGAATATTGCAATTTTAGCTTTTAGAGGTAGAGCAGCTTCAGATAGTGACAATATTAAGGCTGTGGCCGTGGATGTGAGCATCCAAAGCTCAATGGGGGAGACAGTTATGGAACTTGATCTCTCTACGTGCAAGGCTTGTAGCTGTAAGGCCTTGGTGTTGGAAGGGTTGGCCAAGGGGCCACCTGCAGTTGTCTAGAAGTGGGGCAGGTCTTGAGGTAAACAGAGCTGGTGATGGATGTGTAACTCTGAGAGGCCGAGTGATTTGCCCCAAGATCTCACCATCTGCAAATGCCTGGACCTCAGGCACCCTGACCTCCCGGCCTCATCTCAGCAAGGTGGAGCCCCTACCCTGTGAGTTTCTGATTCCAACTCTATCTAGCTCTCAGCTCTTCCACTCAGGGATAAGAACAAGACCAGGGACAAAATGTCCTTCCACTCTGAGCATCTTTTGTGGAGAACAATCTGTTTTTCAAATTATCCTTTCCATTATTTCCCTCCACTGAACTTAGAAAAGACTTTTCAAAAGATAATGGTGTTATTGTTGAATCTGGGGAGGGAGGAGGACATCATAATGGTGCTTTGGTTATTTTTTTAAGGAGAGTCCTTTAAAGACGTATACTGAAATATTTACAGATGAAAGGCTGTGCTGTCTTGGATTTACTTCCAAAGTAAATAATTCAGGCCTTGGTGGGGATGGGGGAGAGGCATGCGTGGATGTTTAGAGCCAACAGGATGGGCTGAGAGTTGCTAATTGTTGAAGCTGGTGATGAGCACATGGGGTCGCATTCAGCAATTCTGTCTACTGTTTTTTTTTTTTTTTTTTTTTTTTTTTTTTTTTTTTTTTTTTTTTTTTGAGACGGAGTCTTGCTCTGTAGCCCGGGCTGGAGTGCAGTGGCCAGATCTCAGCTCACTGCAGCTCCGCCTCCCGGGTTTACGCCATTCTCCTGCCTCAGCCTCCGGAGTAGCTGGGACTACAGGCGCCCGCCACCTCGCCCGGCTAGTTTTTTGTATTTTTAGTTTAGAGACGGGGTTTCACCGTGTTAGCCAGGATGGTCTCGGTCTCCTGACCTCGTGATCCGCCCGTCTCGGCCTCCCAAAGTGCTGGGATTACAGGCTTGAGCCACTGCGCCTGGCCGATTCTGTCTACTGTTGTGTGCACGGTTTGAAATGTTCCATAACACAAGTCTGATGGGGTTGTCAGCAGAAAGCAGCAGCCATCGTGGGCTGCAGGCATCCATGTAAAATATTCAGAGACAGAGAGGCCCCTGGAGGCTATGCTCTATCCTGGCCCCACATCCTGAGAAGGCCCTTGAGAGGCAGGAGCAAGTCTAGAGGAGGTATGGGAAGGGACTCCTTTTTTTTTTTTTTTTTTTTTCAGACAGAGTCTCACCTGTCACCCAGGCCGAAATGCAGTGGCACGGTCCATGGCTCACACAACCTCTTCTTCCCGGGTTCAAGCAATTCTCCCACCTCAGCCTCCAGAGTGGCTGGGACTACAGGCACACACTACCATGCCTGGCTACGTTTTGTAATTTTTGTAGGGATGGGGGTTTCACTGTGTTGCCCAGGCTAAGCTCAAACCCCTGGGCTTAAGTGATCCGCCTGCCTCGGCCTCCCAAAGTGCTGGGATTATAGGTGTGAACCACCGCACCCAGTCTGGGGACTCCAAATTTTAACTCAATTGTCTCAGCTAAAAACTGGGCTGCTCAGCTTGGAGAGGAAAAGCTCTGAGGGGGCCGGAAGAGCTGTTCCCCACAGACAGAGTGGCTGTCCTGGGGGAAGGCCTATCGTCATAAGTCTGTGGATACCCATACCTCCTGCTGGCTCTGTCCAGAGGCCTTTGGCCAAGGCTTTCCCCTGAGGCTCACCTGCCCTCTCCCAGACCCTAGCCACTCTCCCCTCACACACTTCCTCCAGGCTTAGGCCAGAGGAATGCGGTGTGACCCTGCCAGCCAAGTGGGAGTCTGGCGGCTTTAGAAGTCAGGAACAACCAGAGCCTGCTTCTCTCCACTGGCCTAAAACACCCCTGTTCTCTACGTGTCTGTGATGAGGGTCTAACTTGGCTCCAAAACCCCTCCAGGGAAAAGGCTGGGCTGAGGTCACTCCCAACATGGCTCAGCACTAATCCTTCACATCTGGACAAAACTGTGCTCTGTGCACCCCGGAGCAACTGTCCATGAGCTCATCGGGGCCTCCACGGAGTGCATCTGAGAGAGCAAGATTGGAGCAGGGCCTGACATTGTACTGCCTGCTCCCTCCGCACCAGTGTCCTCACCATAGCGCTGACTTGAACGCATCGTGGTAGAAAAACAGCTGGAGACCCCTGTTCTCAGCCTGGTTCAGCCACTAATGATTGGTGGATTGTGAGAAAGTTTCTTCTCCTCCCTGAGCCTCTGCTGCCTCCTCCATAAAATGGGGTAGGGTAGGCCCGAGGCCCTCACTCCCCTGTGTAGTGCATCCTTAATTCTTCTCTGTCTTTTGGAGGGCTGCAGAGAGGCCTCAGAGGCCTACAAGAGCTGGGCTCAGTGGTTCACACCTGTAATCCCAGAGCTTTAGGAGGCTGAGGCAGGAGGATCGCTTGAAGCCAGAAGTTTGAGGCCACCCCGGGCAACACAGTGAGATTCTGTTTCTACAAATAAATAAATAAATAAATAAATAAAAATAAAATAAAAAAATTAGCCTAGATTGGTGGCATATACTTGTAGTCTCAGTTATTTGGAAAACTGAGGTGGGAGAACTGTTTTGAGCCCAGGAGTTTGAGACTACAGTCAGCTACGATTGCACCACTGCACTGCAGCCTGGGTGACAGTGAAAGACCCTGTCTTGGTAAAAAAAAAAAAAAAAAATAAAAATAAAATAGTAGACACGCATATGCACCCACAGGGCTGTCAGTGGCTCAGACAAGGGGAGTGGAAAAGGCTGAAGGATTATGATGATTAACCCTGAGCAGCCAAGGCTGTGGCTCCGCAGGGCTCCCTTCCTTCCTTTCCTCCTGCTCTCCCAGGCCCTGCCAGTTGGGGAAATGGACCTCCTTGGATGCTGCGTTGTTTTCTCTGGCCCGGCTCCTGCTTGGGGCTGATGTGCACCCTGGATGGTGGCCACGGGCGGGGCATCCTGTGCTGGTTGAGAACAGGCTGCTGTGGGGCCTGGAGGCCCCAGGGGGAGGGCTGGGCTGGGCTGGCTGCCCAGTTAAAGAGACGTGGCCGCTGGGGTCCCATCGTCTGAGGCGAAGTACGCTCCTTCTACTTACAGGCCTTACAGGGAGACCTTTTTTATCTGGACCCAAACAGTAAGAAAGTGCCACAGCGCAGATGATTTCTGCATGTTGGGTGATGAGAAATGTTTTCTCAGTGGCATCTCTGAAAGGTGCTGCTGTATCTTCTGAATTGTCAAAGTCACACTCTGCTTTGAAAAGCAACCCCTGGCCACTTGGTGGTTAATTATATTGACCACATTCAATATAATAGAATAATAAATTTACCACTCCAATATTTGTATTAAAATGTATGATTCATTCGAAATCATCCATGGGTTTTGATTATTTTTGAAAGCTGCAGAACACTATTCTTCAAGTGATTCTATAAAAAACTCCAAATACAGGCCGGGCGTGTGGCTCATGGTCTAAAAAGCTATCAGGGATAAAGGTTTCTCTGAGTGCTGTTAAAAGAAACCAAGACTGCGACCCCAGCGCGGTGGGCTCATGCCCTGTAATCCAGCACTTTGGGAGGCTGAGGAGGCTGATCACTTGATGTCAGGAGTTCAAGACCAGCCTGGCCAACATGGTGAAACCCACCCCCGCCCGTCCCCGTCTCTACTAAAAATGCAAAATTAGCCTGGCGTGGTGGTGCACATCTGTAATCCCAGCTACTCAGGAGGCTGAGGCACGGAATTGCTTGAACCTGGGGAGGCAGAGGTTTGTGATGAGCCAAGATCACACCAGTTGCACTCCACCCGGGATGACAAAACAAGACTCTGTCTCAAAAAAAAAAAAAAAAAAAAAAAGAAAAGAAAGAAAGAAAGAAAAGAAAAGAAAAGAAAGAAAGAAAAGAAAAGAAAAGAAAGAAAGAAACCAAGGTTGGAAGTCGGACATGCTAGAGATAGCTCTCCATTTATAGAAAATATAAGGGGTGGAGGTATTTAAATGACATCAAAGGGATGCAATTAGCAAAATCTAAAAGCGGAAAACTTTACAGGACAAACTTAGTTTCTTCAACAACAACAAAAAATTTAAGTAAAAAAGGGGGAGAGAAAACTTACATATTTAAAGAGATCTAATAGACATATTGACCAAATGCAGTGTATGTAACCTTATTTGGATTAAACAAATGAATTGCAAAAAAGATATGACACAATCAATCAAGGACATTTGAACAGTGATTGAATATTTAATGATATTCAGTCACGGCTTTGGAGTGTGATCATGGCATTGGCAGTTGTGTTTATTAAAAGAGTGTTTATAGATGAAAATACATGATGCCAGCCAGGCGCTGTGGCTCACATTGTAATCCCAACACTTTGGGAGGCTGAGGCGGGGGGATCATCTGAGTTTGGGAGTTCGAGACCAGTCTGGCCAACATGGTGAAATCCTGTGTGTACTAAAAATACCAAAAGTAGTCAGGTATGATGGTGCTTGCCTGTCCCTGTCCCAAGTAGCTCCCAAGTCCCAGCTACTTGGGAGGCTGAGGCAGGATAATCAGTTGAACCCAGGAGGCGGAGGTTGCAGTGAGCTGAGATTGCACCACTGCATTCTAGCATGGGTGACAGAATGAGACACTGTCAAAAAAAAAAAAAAAAAAAGAAAGGAAGAAAGAAAAGAAAATACACAATGCCTGGATTTCCTTTAAAATAATCCAGGGAGGGGAGAGAGGGTGGAAACTATAGATGAGATAAAACTGCCCATGAACTGATACTTGTTGAAGTAGGGGTGATAAGTACCTTATATGATTCTTTCATATACTATTATTTGTGTTTGTATCCAAAAGTTTTTCATAATCAAAAGTTAAGATATGTCATCTAAAATCTGAAAAGATTATGCACAAAAATGTATGAAATCAGTGTGAAATACACTAAATACATGAATACTTTCTTTCTTTTCTTCTTCTTCTTCTCTTTTTTTTTTTTTTGAGACAGAATCTTGGTCTGTCACCCAAGCTGGATTGCCGTGGCTTCATCTCGGCTCACTGCAACCTCCACCTCCCAGGTTCAAGTGATTCTCCTGCCTCAGCCTCCTGAGTAGTTGGGACTACAGGTATGTGTCCACCACGCCCGGCTAATTATTGTATTTTTAGCAGAGATAGGGTTTCACCGTGTTAGCCAGGCTGGGTCTTGATCTCCTGACCTCATGATCCCCCCGCCTGAAGGGAGGTGGGGGGAAGAAAGTGAACAGTGAAAGGCAAGGAACCCAGCTAATGAAGTACCCAGACAGCCTCTCCCTTCGGCACAGCTCTCTACCTCCACCGGTCCCCGATTCTCCACCAGAACAGCTCAGTCCCCAGAGAAGCTCCTGGAAACTGGGAGGGACTTCTCATCGACCGCAGAACCACCTGAGGCCACCTGGCAGGTGAATAGGTGGCCTTTCTCCTGGCCCCCGCCTGATTCTTTAAGGCTGTTGCTGGGCTAGCCTGGGTCCAGTCACCCTATGGAGTCTGGCTTGTTATGCAATGTCCTGTAAAGCCAGGCCTGAGCCTCCACTGGCCCTCTGAGACGGAGCTGGCCTCCTGGGCTGCCCCACCCAGCAGCTGTGACCTCCCACTCCAGATCCTGGCTCCTTCTCTCTTGCCAGCTCTACTCCGGGCATCAAGCTTCTCTCTCTCTCCTTTTTGGTCTCTCTCAAATCTTTCTCTTTTCTTCAATATCCTCTCTCCCTCCACCCTTGCCATTTCAATCACTCTTTCTCTTTCCTTCTTCTTCTGTCTCTCAAACTCCTTTTTCTTTCTATCCTAGTTCATATTTGTTCAGGGAAAGCCTCTTTCTGTCTCGGCCTCTCCTTTTCCTTTTCACTGTTTATTCTTTCCTCTCTCCTTTATCCCTCCGTTGCTCTACTTCTCTGCCTTTTTCTGAGTCTGTTTCCTCTCAATCTTTCTCTCCATCCCTCCCTCCCTGCATCTGCTTCTCTCTCCATCTCGCTGCTGTGTCCAGCTCTCTCTCTGTGTCACTCTCTTGCTCATTCCTTCCTCGCCATCTGCGGGTCTCCCCGGCTCCAGGTCCCCTGTCGCGCCCCGTGCCCCACTCACCGGCCAAAGAGCCCGCGGCGCGGAGCAGGGCCAGCCCGGCCAGCGCGCAGAGCAGGGGCCGCATGGTGCCGGCCCGGCAGAGCGCAGCGCCGCGTCTGCCCGCAGCCGCCCTTCCCGGATCGCGCCCGGCCGGCCCGGGAGGAAGTGCTCTCAGTTCGAGCCAAAATTCCTGGGCGGCTCCGGGCTTTCTGGCTCGAGAGAACCCGCCCCCTCCAGAGGCCCCTCTGCATCCCACGGGCAGCGCGGAGCCCAGAGACCCCAGGAGCTGAGGCACCGACGTGCCACCTGGGCGCCTCCCGAGGAAGGGGCCGCCCCCTCCCCGAGTCCCCGCGCCTCCTGAGGGCCCGGGGGGTGAGGGGATTGGGTGAGGTCTTGGACTCAAGGCGACCGAGCCTGGGGTCAGGGGTTTGTTGTGAGCCCGTTTCACAGGTGGGCAGACTAAGACTCGGAGAGAAGTGTCTTCCTCGGCATCACTCTCAGCCACGGCACAGGATCTGAACCCCTGTCTCCCGGGAGTGTGGAAGCTTTTCTCTGTCCACCTACGAGCAACAAATTAATTCTAATTACATGGGACAGTGTCTGCCCCTAAGAAGGAGACCCAGAAACTCACTGCTCTGGTAAGGGAGTGATAGCAATGTGAAAAGGTACTTTTCAAAAAAAAAAAAATCGTGACTCTTGTAAAGACATGAAATTAGCATATACTAAAGATTTTATTTAATTCATTATTAATGAGGGGACAAGTAAGATGGTACAAGCAGTCCAAAGTTTAGAACACAGTACTGGAAACTTCCCCTGTGGGACATGACCATCCAACAAGTGCAACAACAAATTGAGTTTTAGTGAAAGCACAAAAGCAAAAAAGCTGCAGCTCTAACTTCTCTGCTGCAGAGCCCTGAGCGCCTTGCCTGGCTGTCAGTGGAACGCTTTCATCACCAAGCCTGGGAGAATGCCTTTGTCCATCCAGGGTCCCCATTGAGGTAGCCTGGAGCCCTTGCAGATCAAGGCTGCCTCTCTGCCTTCTGTGTTTGTGGCTGTGGCTACGCAATTGTCCAAAACAGTCACCACGCTAACCAGTGATCCAGTTCTCACTCCCTCCTCCAGAGCAAGATAATAGCCTCAGACAGAGAAATTTTGGTTCTGAACCCGAGAATGTGAGACAGACTCAGATCTAAATCTTTTAAAAGCCTTCGAGGAGATTATGATGCCCACATGAGCTGGCTCAGAAGAAGAATTTATTTCAGGAATGCCAAGAATTTCTCACGCTTGGTGGTAGGACATTCCTTGATAGTTTAGCCAGGTGGGAAGTTGTCAAAGAACTGCCAAACCCATAAGGATTCTTGTAGCTCAGAGCCAGTGGACTACCTTATATTTTGAATGTAAGATTAAGAAAACACATACACACACACACACACACACACACACAAAACATATACATTATTGTTGTAGTAGAGCATAAAGTAACTGAGTATACAGAGTAAAACATGAAAGTCTTTTCTGTTTTGATTTAATTTAATGTAACTTAATTTAGGAGAGCTAAATAATTAAACATGAGGCCAAAGTATGTAAGAAAGTGGCAGTCTTTTATTGCAAATATGCACACACTCTGGGGCGAGGTTCTCTGGTCCTCAGGTGTGGGGGGCCAGGGAAGTCGCACCGGAGGCTCTGGGGTGATGTTCTCTGGTCCACAAATGCCAGGGCGAAGAAGTCACCCTGGCTCCTGCCGGTGGCAGACTTTTATGCATTGGTACTGGAAGGGGGGGCAGTGGGCGGGGATAAGGGTGTGATAGGGGCGTCTCTGTAGGCGTGGCCGGGTAAGTTTCCATCTCTTCAGATTGACATCACCTGGCACATGCTCGGTTGATCTGCATCTTCCCAGGGTGGGCTGCATTTTCCCGCGCGAGGGAAACTTGGTGAGGAAGAACCCGGAAGCAACATGGATTATGCCTTCTTGTTCACCTTCCTCCATCTTGTCCTTTCTCCTTCACTCAAACATTTTCTTTTTTTTTTTTTTTTTTTTTTTTTTTTTTTTGAGACGGAGTCTCGCTGTGTCGCCCAGGCTGGAGTGCAGTGGCCGGATCTCAGCTCACTGCAAGCTCCGCCTCCCGGGTTTACGCCATTCTCCTGCTTCAGCCTCCCGAGTAGCTGGGGCTACAGGCACCCGCCAACTCGCCTGGCTAGTTTTTTGTATTTTTTAGTAGAGATGGGGTTTCACCGTGTTAGCCAGGATGGTCTCGATCTCCTGACCTTGTGATCCGTCCGTCTCGGCCTCCAAAGTGCTGGGATTACAGGCTTGAGCCACTGCGCCGGCCGAAAGTCTTTTCTTTTAAGAATTCCCTCTGTCCAACCATTCAGGTCCAGTTCCTTTGACTTGGTAGGCTCTGCCTGTTCCCAGTCT